GAATACCTGGGACAGAGCTTCTGGGAGCCTTTAGAGGTGGTGAGCTGGGCTCTGCAGTCAGACAGCTCAGGCTCTAACACTTGCTCTGTCACTAGCTGGCAGACCTAGGGCAACCTACTTCATCTTTGTGTCTCAGTCTTCTCATCTGTAAAATGAGCACAATAGGGCCCACCTCAAAGGGACTTTGTGATGGTCCATGTAAAGTGTGTAGTATAGTGTCAGGATACACTGAGCGCCCAGGAAATGTAGGGAATGATTGGGAATATGGGATGGTAGAGAAGTAATCCCCTTCTGATTTCCAGGAGCGCTCTGACTCATTTGTGCCACATTGCCACCTGGAAGTCTGTCTGTTCCCTCTAAAGCACACATTTGCACAGAGCAGCTCTCTATCATTTCCATGCTGTTCGAGATCTGGCTGCAGAGACCCAGGAATGCTCGTAAGAATTTGTTAACAAAGATTCAGAATAATCAAGTCAAAGAGATTTTCCTCAAAGCAATTTACCAATTCATCCACCCATCAAACATGTGCCACCGTGAGCTGGAGAAGTCCTGCAAGGCCTGCAAAATGAAAGTGAAAATGAATGAGATCAAATCCCCACTGTCATGTTTATCAGTCTCTCGGCGGCAAAAGGAGTCAATGTCCAGACAGAGCTATGAAGAAGGGCCGTGGGAGTCCAAAGAGGGAAGGGACTGCCTCTGGGCGTAGTGAGGAGAGCGGTGGTGGGATTCACAGAGGAGGTGACGGTCGACCCGAACAGGTGAGTAGGAAGAAGTTTGTCAGAAAAAGGAGGCACAAGCTACTCCAGGTATGGAGGGCAGCTCGTGCAAAAAGACAGAGTCCTGACAGTCCACATTCAGGAAATGGTGAGGTCAGCATGTCTAAGCACCCTGAAAATCAATCCATGTTATTCTAATGCTCATGTGGACTTTATTTAAAATAGAAACATTTCCACCAAATTAGTCATGCATCCCAGAAGAGATCATCTTATTGCTAAAGTAAATGTTCTTTCTTTATTTCTTCCCAAATGATTCAATGGTTATTTTTCTGAAGTATATTTCTGATTGTCGATGTTGGAAAACAAGCACCTTCAGAAAGTCCATTTGGGCCCAGGAGATAAAACCAAGGCAGCCCAGGATCAGAAGTACTTATTTAGCTCATCCTAGGAGCACCCTCTTCGTCTCCGAACCACTCCAACAAATGGAGCAATTTCAGCTTTTCAAAGCCAGCAAAGAGGTAACTTATGGCGTCTTAACTCAAGATGAACAGGCACAAAACTCAGTGCATCCTGTTTCATTTGTTCCTTCATTATTCTCTGAGAACAATGGAAGGTGAATGCAGCCAGAGGCCCCTTTCATGAGAACACAAGTGGAGGAGGAAATTTTGTTCATAACTTTGCTGGGACACTGTTTGGCCAAATGCCGTGACTGGAGGTCAGAATATGCTACTTTTCTTTCTAGTGTAGCAAAGAGGTAAGACAGAGATTTGGACCCCCTGCTCCCCCAAAAAAACACACACACACACTCTTCTTGTCAAACTAGACTTAACTTCCATTTCTTGAGGTGAGAATTGTAATCTTACTGAAATCACAGAGGCAAAGCTAGGGTCCCATTAAGCTGTGCTTTATCTGTCAGTGATGTGTGGTCCCTTGGGAATTAATGATTTAAGTAGACTTTGCCTGTTCAGAATTTATGATCAGAGTAGTTTTTCTCCCTGAAAAGGCAACATGGGTTGTGGGATTAGGACCCTCATTTATTTGATTGTTTTCTTTTTGGTCTCAGGGCCTGGGTGGGACCTGGAGTTGCAGGCTGCCATGGAGAGCCAGCCCTTCCTGTGGTCGGTTGCTCAAGCCAGCACATTCTCTGTGATTGTTTTAAATGTGTTAAAAAGAAAGAGAACCAGGCTATGTCAGCGTGAGCTGGAATAAATCACTTCTTTTTCCTAGACCTGTTTTCTTATCTGTTAAAAGGAGTTAGGCAGGGTAGGGGTGGGGGACAAAGAAAATCCAGAGATTCTTAAAATTTTCTGATTTAATTGATCTGGAAAGGGGCTTCTTTCTACCATTTTGGTTTGGGGATATTTTGTGGGGGCCAGGGGAATTGAATTCTTTTGTAGGGGACTACAGTGATTACGGGGGAGGCAGATTTAACCTGGTAGCAACCTAGGGTGTAGAGCCCATGGTCTGCTTTCCAGAACCAGAGACTTCACAAATTTTCAACTTGTATTATGGAGGTATGCTATAAAGGAAAGAACACAGACCGAAGAGAAGTGCTGGATGAAAGTCTAGCCACTAAACTAACTCACGGAGATTGAGACCAAGGCACACGCCCATCTTAGGGCCTCAGTCTACCTGGAAGAGAAATGAATGTGGTGGACAGACTCTAAGGAGGCCCCTATGGTCCATGCCTCCTCCTCCCTCCAAGTGGGGGCAGGACCTGTGACTTGTTTCTAACCAATAAATTTGGCAATGGTGGTGGGTTGTCACTCCCATGATTATATTACATAAGACTGGAACACTCATCTTACTAGCACAGTCTATTGACTGTCTCTCTTGCTGGTTTTGATGCGGTAAATTGCCGTATAGAGAGGTCCACACAGCAAGGAACTGAGGGAGACCTCTGGCTGACAGCCCACAAGGAGCCGAGGCCCTCAGTCTAGGAACCCCCAAGGAACTGAATCCTGTCAACAACCCACATGAGCTGGGGAGTGGATCCTTCCCCAGTCAAGTTTCAGATGAGACCCCAGCCCTGGCGGACACCTGGATTAGAGCGTTGTGAGAGACTCTGAAACAGGGGACCCAGCTAAGCTGTACCTAGACTCCAGACCCACAGAAACTGTGAGATAATAAATGTCAGTCATTTGAAGCCACTATGTTTGTGGTAATTTGTTATGCAGTGATAGATAAGTAACATAATGAAGCAGTTGGAACCTTCCTATACCTGGCATTCTGTGAGCATGATCATTATATTCTTATGCTAGCAGCATTACAGCACACAAATAAAACTACTCCATTATGACATAGACAAACACGTTGTCAGCCGCTGTCACTGTGCTGGGTTGAGAATAATTTATCTTTCTAGAAACCCTGGGGTACTTGTTCTATATTTAGATTCTCATTTAATCAGGGCTCTTTTCCAGGCTTCTTACTGCTGATTGCAAACACCATTCTCACACGCACGGGTCCACATTCACGCACACAGGGCCTAGATTCTACTGAATTTAATTAGGGATCAACCTGAAATAAAATGGCTCCTGCAGAAAAAAAAGACCCCTCTCAGAAAGATTCTAAGGACACGGAGCAAGAAGTTTTGGTATTATATTTGGTGGTGTTGATTCTGAGAGAAAGGGTCAAGTGGAAGATTCCGCCAAAATGAATCAAGCCTGAGGAAGAATTAGTCCAGCAGGAAAACCCCATTTCTGCAATAAAAATATATGGCCACTTGTATTTTAATAGCAGCTAGAGATACTGGGCTCCATTTATGTACAGATTGGCACGGACGGAGTGTGAAAGAGGCTTAGTAAGCTGTATGTTATTTAACACATTTTGCTCCTTTATAAGCCTGCTTTGCTGGAATGCCTTCATCCCCTACATATAAAATCGACACCACGGACTGCCTCATGGTGCACATTTTGGCTAGTGTCTGAAGTGGTGGCTGAGGAAACATGGCCACACACAACTCTAAGCATGAGGAGGAGCGAGCCTGTGCTTCTGCCTCAAGGGCCTTCAGGGCTGGTGGGGGAGCAGGCCACTTTCTGTTCCCCGAGCGTGTGACAGATACTGTTACTGCAGCTGACGCAGCAGCAAGACGGGGAGAGGAGGTGAAAACATTCTGACATCAGTACCGGGCTGGGAGGCCAGTGAGCTGTGCCCTGTAAATGTTTCTGAATGAATGAACGACGCATTAATTCCTGCCCTTAGAAGCCTTGCAGCTACTATTCCCTAGGTTTCCCCAGCACTTCTCCTTGGTCATCAAAGGAAAAATAAGATCCACCAGTGCCCTTAAGGGACTTAAAACAGGACAGACAGGCGAGGCTCATGAAGCCACTGAAGATAACGCCGTAAATAAAGACAAAAGGGGTCCCCCAGTTCAGGGAGCCTGGGATGATCTGGGAAACCTTCATGAGTGCAGAATTTCTGGTGACCTCTCGAAAACCCCAGCAAAAGGCTGAATTAGGCAAGGGGTTTGTGGCCATTTCTGGATGAACTGATTGAAGCTTTAAGTCTCTTGCTGTTTGTGGCCCCAGCAAAAGGCCCTTGGAGTTCCAGGTTTAAGACACTGGGTGGGGGTCCCTTCTCCTTCAGGAGGTGTCCCTGGGACTCAGTCCCTGCGCAGCTAGGCCAGCAGTGGGGACAGTGGCCTCGGTCAACCAGGCCGGCGCCCCACTGGAGCCCCCCCCCCCCACCCCCCCCCCCGGCCGATCCGGGGCCAGCCGCTAAGGGCCCCCACCCCGGGAGCCCGGGGCTCGGAGCTCGGGGGGGGGCCAGACTTCGCCATGCACCCGGCAGCCAGAGCCCCGGCTGGATCCCCCCACGGGCGCGGCCGCCTTTGTGCATCCTGGGCCCACGCCCCGCTGAGCGGCCCCTTCTGCAAGGATCCCCCCCGCCGCGGCGCCATACCTGGCCCTTTGTCACCAGCTGCCAAAGGATTCAGAAAATCAAATTTATTTCCCGATTACAGCCATAGCGCCCCTTTGTGCAGCGAGCTCCCTTTAACCGTTGAGATTCCAGCAGACATTGTGAAGGCCTTTATGGCAGAAAAGAAAAGCCGGCCGCTCCCGGCCGCCCCCGCCCCGCCTGGTCCTCGGACTCCCCGGCCCCTGTGGGAACTCGCCAGGGATGTTCTTCTCTCAATAAAAACGCTAAGGAGCCCCAAGACGGTGGGTTCTCAAGTGTCTTGCCTGTTAAAGGGGATAAATCAATAGACATCTTGAGTTCGGAGGGTGTGTTTCCTTTTTTTTTTTTTCCAGGAATGAATAGATGAATGATAACTCCATTTCTTACCAGCCCAGCACTGTCCTCTACGCGCCCCGGCAAGTCCGATGTCATCCTCTGAGCTTTCAGCTCTGCCAGCCTCTCGCCTGTGCCGGGTCTTCTTGAAGCTGCAGGCTAACCGGAAAATGCCTCTCTTAGGACGATTCTCAGGGACTAAATACGTCTTGGGCACCTGAAGACGAGAAGATGTTCCATCATTTTTCTCGATCAGGTTGAGAGTTCCTGAAATGAATACAAAATATTGCTTTGCCAAGCTTTTTCTTTCTTTCTTTCCTTTTTGTGATTGTGTGGGAAATAAATGTCCTTTTTTTTTTTAACAAAACCAATAAAAGAAAAAAGACAATCTAAAGTAGGCACATGCTTAAAACACATAGATCTCCACTCTTTTTGACCACTCAGAAAGTAATGTACAGGAGAGACGGATATGCGCAAATCTACCAACACATCAACATTAGTCTTATAATACTCTCCCGTGAAAACTTCCAAAGATGGTCATAATTTGTATGCTCATTATAAAATAACATACAGCACTGTGATTTGAATTATATCGTCACGAAGCAAAGAAATCCACAACAGGAGAATTTGGTCCATTGGTTATAAATTATGCATGTCCTAAAGCTTTTGCAAACACTAAAAAAAATAATGATATATAGCACTTGGCAAGAGTCTATTTTTTCCTCTATCTCTTTTTTTTTTATCGTGAGAAGGTAGAGATGCTACTCAGTTGTTCTGTGACTAAAGGAAGCGAGTATAAATCAATGCCACATTTGCTAACAAACAGCATTCCTCTCTTTATACACATCTGTGTGTCTGCACACATACACACACACACACACACATACACACCCCCCACACACACACAAGCGCTTGGCCCACTCAGCTTCCCCATAATTTCACAAAAGAGTGACTCTAATGTTTTCTGCTTTGTAGGGAGCCCGTGGTATGGTGGTGGATTGGATACCTACACCAGTGAAGGCCTGAGAGGCATAATCAAATAAGGGAGCCACTTGAACTGAACTCCCAGCAGGAGCGAGAGGGAGGCCTGAAGAGGTTACAGGTACTTTTTATCCAGGCTCGCAGGAGAGCAGCAACTTCCTGCTGCTAGAAATTTGTCTGCAAATTTTTTCCTCATTCAGACAGAGAGCTGGGGTCCAGGAGACACTGGGTTGATATGATAACTTGATTAAGACTGGGACAGATGACATGGGAGCACCAAGTCGGCTCAAAGGACTCTGTGCTGGCCTCTTTAACCTCTCCTTGGGAGCCTACAAATTATATCTATTAATGCATCAGCCCCCTGGCATCGCACAAATACGTTGTCTGCTTAAATGCATGTCAATCAGTTACAGGGGGCTTTGTGGAATTCCCACCACGTTTTCATTTCTCTTCTCCCCTAAAAACAAAGTTTAACCTGTTGGTTCGTTCAAAGGCTCAGAGCCTGCCTCCGCCTGCTGAAATCACTTTGGAGGGAGAAGTCAAGTGCCAAAGTGTTCAGAGCATCATTTAAATGGGCCCTGGGCAGCTGGAACGCGTCCAGGGGAGGGACATTACAAGGAGGAAGGGTTTGGAAACCACCTTCAGTGAAGCGTGGACGGAAAACCTGGGGATTAGCCTGGAGAAGAGAACACACAGAGAGAACTTGAGATCTGAAGAAATGCTAAGGGGGAGAAGGATGAACGTCTTCGGTGGGCCCGGAGAGAGCGCAGGGAGAGACAGGCATTCAGAAAGTGCCAGCAAAGTGCCTGGATGAGAAATGGGCCACGTGCTGGGGCTGCCCCAGGCGGATGTCAGGAAATCTGCAGTGTGGTCACAGCTGCAGGAATCACCACTTCCCCTCCCACTTATCTGAGCCCAAAGACAGGCAGCCATTGAAAGGCTGAGAAACTGCAGCTCAAAATATTGTGGGGGTTTTAATTGAGGGTTAATTTGACAAACAATACAATGGACAGCTTTTTAAGTGCACAGTTCAGTGAGTTTTGACAAATGTAACCCATGTGACCACCACCCCAGTCAAGATCTAGAACATTTCCGTCCCCCCCAAAAGTTCCCTTGTGTCCTCTTTCCAGTTAAACCATCCCCCCTCCTGCCCCCAGGCAATCACTGTTCTGATTTCTTTCACTCTAGATAGGTTGTGTCTGTTTTAGAACTGCATTTAAATGGAATCATCCAGTGTGTCCTCTTTTGTGTCTGGCTTCTTTCACTTAGCATGCTTTTAAGATTCATCCATATAGTTCACTCCTTTTTATTGCTGCGTAGTATTTCCAAGTAAGGATATAACACATTCCATTTGCCCATTCTCCCTCTGACGGATATTGGGTTGTTTCCAGTTTGAGGCTATTATGAATGCAGCTGCTATGAACCGCCTTCTACAATTTTTCATCGCTGGCTTATAGGATATATTCGAAATGCCATTTTAGACAAGACTGCAAAGCAAGGAAAGCCTAAGCTCATGAAAAGTGTGGTCTTTAGTTAAGACAAGGAAGAGTTTCTGGAACTTGACCGTTTCTGGTTGTCCACATCTTCCCCAGGGAGCACAAAGTGAGTCCCCACTCCTCCCGCTAGTGGGCAGGAGACATACACCAGGACACATCTAGGGCAGCCTGGGGTCCTTCATGAACAAGAATATCTATCTCAGCAAAATGGGTGTTGGCCATCATTCAAGTCTACTCAAGATGTTTGAAATCACATCTGCTGAGCTCCTACTACGTGCATGGTTCTGGGAGTGCACTAGGGACTACGGGAAGAGAGAGAAGAATTTGATGAGACCTCCGTTTTCAAAGGGCTTACAGTCTGAAAGGAGAAATAAAATGAGGAATAAATTATGAAACCATAATGCAGTGCTCAACAAACACTTACAGGTCAGCTGCTGTGCTGGCGTGCTGGGGAGATGCAGACGACCTGCAGAGAGAAGGCCGCGCCCACTCCTCCGAGCATCGGGAAGATTGAGTCCCATCCAGACAAGTGCACATCAGGCTGAGGGTCAGGGTGGATTTGGACTTGGAACAGGTATTCGAGAGCCCGGACCTGCTGCATCACCTGGAGACCCAGAACCTCTCTACACTGGACGTCCCCACGTGTACTCATCGCCTCACGTCAGGTGGTCCTGAAGGTGACATTGGCTCTAAGACTTTGAAGGTCACATCAAAGCCATTAAAACACAGAATGTCGGTGCTGGATGGCCCTTTAGAGTTCATGGTCCACTCCATCTCAAGGTCAGATAGGGAAACTGAGGCCCGTGCTAAGAGAAGGTGGTTTCCCAATGTCACAGGGCAAAAATGTTTTCCCTCCCAGCAGAGTCATTATTCTCCTGTATTGGTCTGCCACTTATTATAAAGTTCTTACCGTATGAAGAGACCTACTTATAAGGCTGGCATTGGAGGGACAAGGTCAGCCATTCTCTAGTCTCAGCAGGTTAATGAACCAGACTTTGCCTGTGAGCGGCTGTTAGCTTTGGAGAAACATGTTTTAATCCAGAAGTCATCTAAATGGTGTGATAAAAACAGGCAACCATGTAATAATAGGGGACCTATGTGCTTATGACTCGTTTGTCTTCTGTACCAAGTTGTTTATTTTTCCAGTTGTTAGGCTTTTGGTTATTTCCCTGTCATTTTTCTCTGCACAGGTTTGACAACTGTGTAATCATAGAAGACTATATAAATTACTTTATATTTTGCTGTTTTCTATAGAGTAAAGCTTCCTTCCTTTGGCCAAACCACTCTGGCCTTTAAGAACATTGATGTATATTGTATTACTACAAGGGGGAAAAAAAAGTGAATATATTGAAGTTTCATACTATCTTCCGAACAGTTATGAACAGATTCGTTTAAAAGAAGAGAAGAGATGAATTTGGATTTATACAAATTCAGTGGGAATTCATTCAAAATTAATTTGCAAGTCAGAGGGAACAAAGGCAGCCATGTTCATGATTGCTGCTTTGTGGTTTTTTAATAATCTAAAAATTATAAAGTACTTTATACATGTACAACATTTAAAATTTTTCAAAACATATCCATTCTTTTACTGGAACTCCTAATGAAATGGGTAAAACATGAGTTATCTCCATTTTGCAGATTAAGGAAACAGAGGCCTGGGGACAAGCGACTTATCCACATTCACATAGGTTGTACGTCCAGCGTCGTGTGCCCCACCATCCTTTGCCCACAGAGCAACACAGCACCACGCAGCAGCCCCCAGCAGCACCCAGATAGAACACAAGGACCAGCACCATTCACAGAGCAGCTCTTTTTGACTTAATTGTGAGATATGTGATCACAGATTTTTTTTTTTAACACGTAATATTCATGTCTATATGTCTTCTGCCAGAAACAGGGCTGGCTACATAATACTTGGGATCCAGTGCAGAATGAAAGTATGGCGTCCCTTGTCCAAAACGCAGAAAAAAAGTGCCGTTATAGGCACGCAAATAGAAAGTTTTCTCCTTTCCTCTGTGTTCTCTCTCTCAGCGTGTCATGGTAGTTTTTATTTGCTCTTTAATGTCATTCTAAAGAAAGAGAAATTAAAAATTTTAATTATTAGCCTGAGTTTTACTGTTCATCTTTAGATTGTACAATGCCAGTTGTAAATGCAAATATAAGAGCATTTAATTCCTACGCAGAATCACCAAAATTACAGAATTTTGACTTTGTAGCTCACAGAAGCATATGTTTTTTCTTCGCACCCGAACAGTGGAAGTGCTGCTGAAAACCAACTCAATTGTTTTTCGTTCCCTTTGTAACACACACACATTCTCCCACCAGCCTCTGCCTTTGGCTTGCTGTTGAGGCTGCTGGAAGGATGAACAACTGCATCCTCCTCTCTCTCTCTTTCCTTCTGGGGTCATTTTCAGTGGAAATATTGGCTAATAGGGGGAGTCACATGAGAAAGAAAGATATGATGGGTTCTTTGGTCAATTGTGTTTCACAAAACGCCATCGTCTTCTTTCTGCATTCTTCCATCTTCCATTCTGGTCTAAATAGAAAGCCTGGCCTCTGGGGGCCATTAGCAGCCTGCTTACTCACTAGCAGTGCAGCATTCTTACCTCACTTTGAGCTTCACAGAACTCCCGTGCTTTGTGGGCCCACTGGACTTCTGTGCTCCTGGGCCGTGGAGAATGCTCTATGAGAATGGAGTAGCAAGGAATTGCGTAGACCCGCAAACTGCATATATCTCCCTCACTCCACCCTCTCATTGGACTTCATTTACAAAACAGAAGTTCAGAAGTGAAATGATTAAGAATCTCTAGATTGACAGCAGAGTGTTAAACCAAGCACAGGGCCCTTTCGAGCATGGAGTCC